GGCTTCGTAAGTGACCGGGAGCGGGCGGGGCCGTGGGCCGTCCGCGTCCCCTGCGGCCTGGCCCCTCGCCCTGCCCGGGGGCGCCGCGGGCCCGTCCTCGCTCGGCCGAGGGGACAGCGCTGACCTCCAGGCGGCGGGGAGGTTGTGAGCCGCGTTCTGTGAGGGGAGAGCCTCGTCTTTGCATAACGGAGCGCACCGAATCGGTTCAAACCCGCCCCCGAGCCGCTGTCGGTGCCTGTGGCGAGGGGAAGAGAGAGGAGTTTGTCAGGGTAATAGAGCCGGCATGAAGTAACCTCACCGTGTTCGTTGTCGTTTGAGGTTTTGATTTCGCTTGGGCTTTTTTTTTTTTGACTGACTGGGTGAGAAGCGTTATGAGTTTTCATGTAATTGTCTGTATTGGGCGGTTTGGTCACTTTTATGTAACTTTCCTTGCAGCTGCATAATGGCAGAAGCCACAGTCTCTCCCCTGAAGCACTTTGTGCTGGCTAAAAAGACAATCACTGCTATCTTCGACCAACTGCTGGACTACGTCACTGAAGGAGCAACTTTTGTGGAAGGTTAGCTTTCCCCTTAAACACAAGGGCCGTATCCGCTGCTTTGAATATGTTTTACGGCAGCACAACGTACATGATGGTACATATCGGTATGCTGTTTGTGTAAACATATGCCTTCAGAAATAGTCATTCTTTTCATTTGACGTTGTTTTTTTCAACTTAGGCTAGCAGGAATTGGTTACATATATGAAAAGCTGATGGCATTGCTTGGGCTGGTAGCATACCCTCTTTTCCATGAGGGTGAAAGCTTAGCCATTCCAGCGTTTACAGTCCTGTTGTGGTTTCTTTTGCATAGAAGAAAGGACAAACAGGTTCTCCCATTATTCAGTAGGAAAGTAGATCAACATGATGTAATGCAAAGAATACACCCTCAGAAGTTGTAGCGATGTGGAGGCGCGTGTGTTGCCACATGGATTTGGTTGCTCATCATCCCAGTGAGCTCTGCAGGGAGAAGACAGCCTGGCCTAGCTAGTATATCCATGAGAGGTCCCTGTTTTCCCTTCTGAAGGAGGCAGGTGTCACAAAGAGTGGGGCAAATCAGCACAGCAGGCTGCGTTCACAGGCTTATTGAACCCAGCAGCTAGATTGTTGATCAATCTGAAATGATTTATGTCATGATTTCACAAGTGCTTGTGGTGGAGCTGTCAAATGACAAGGGCTAATATCAGTGTCCATAGTGGGGTTTTATTCGTTTTGTTTTCTTACTGCTGTGCAATTAAAATTGACACAGATATTTGTTGGCATATGAAGTACTGATAATCTGTATTTTATATCCTGGAGCATATATTCTTTATGTGATTGCTTTTGTGTTATTCTTTTTCTATGTGTAGCAACATACAGGAACCCGGAGCTTGAACATGTAGCAACAGAAGATGAACTGGCAAAAATACAGACATATAAAAATAAGTTAGCAGTCATCGGTGAGGTGCTTTCACGGAGACACATGAAAGTGGCATTTTTTGGCAGGTAATGAATGGAATTTCCAGAACTTAATTTGACATCTTGCAGGGCTTAGTGCCCTTATTTCTAATTTAAGTGCATCTGGGATAAAGAAAGTTATATTTCAGCCTTGATATTTCACAAAGTTAAAAGTTGCACACATTCACAAGCTGCGATGTGTGATAAAAATTGCTTTTGCAAAGGGCAGAAGTTCAGAGCAGGAAAAAGGATTTAACTCTCCCTCTGACATTTAGAGTAAATTTGTATACCATTGTACAGCGAGCGCTGAATTCTTTCTAGAAGTAGCAGCTAAAAATGGGTTACAGTCTATGTAACTCCTTACTATTGTGTAATAGTTAAACATCAAATCTTTATGGGTGAGGGGTAGAGGGTTAGTGTGGAGTAGGACCTTACCAAGAACTTCACTTTCTTGCAGAATCTTGGGTTGGTGAACAGTTCCTTTTAATCAACAGGGGCTTAGTTAATTTAACTACCTCTTCCTTCTGAAATAAGGACAAGATTAAGTTTCGTTATTAAAGACAGAGATTGCACTGTAAGGGTTATGTACAAGAAATAAATTTGAGAGGGTGTTTTGCACATTGTTTCACATCTTACTGTAGGAATCTTCATTTGGTTGAGATTATCATTTATGAAATTGTTTTGAGTTGCCATTGCTAGCTGTGACGAGAGTTCCCAGACAGCAATACTTTGGAACGTATTTTAAGGCGTTAGTACGGCAATGTTCCTTTTGTACCTCGTCTCATGCCTAGAAGACTCTGTCAGAAGCAGCAGTTCCTTCCTGACTGGTAAAGAAAAGATGTTTCTCTGAAGACAGTAACTTACTGAGGTGATAATTTCACAAACATTTTAAGGAGTTGATCCCTGGAATTCATCTACATTTGCTGTGAGCAGGAAGGTGGAATTGTCTGATCAGAATGTAATTCTGCCCAAAATGTTACGTGTATTTTCAGTTGGTTCTTTTCCACAGGATTGCAAGGGCTGGCACAAAGAAGAGGGCAGGCTGCCCCCTTATGTGGGACGGCATGCTGTGATTTAGCAATTGCTTTAAGTTGATCTAGGGCATCTTTCTATCCTAGGTGCTTTTTCCAGTGTAGCAAAGTTGAGCCAATGTCTTTTACAAATTTCTTACACAGATTGAAGCATACCAGCTAAGTCATACTTGCCAGTATATGTCATGCAAATGAAAATTGGTTTTCTTGGTTGCATTGATACCAAGAAAGATTTTTGGAATTGCTATTCAGATGGACTTTTCCTGCACTCCCTGCTGTTTTCTGTCAAGCTATGCTGTACTAGCTTGAAGCTATATCACCCGACACAGCTTGCAATATGTGGATCTGGTGCAATTAAACAGGGATATGTTCGGTTCAAGACAAAGGTATGAGTAATGCTGCTGTACTGTGCTTAGACTGCTTTTATTTTTGTTCCCTCTAGAACAAGCAGCGGGAAAAGTTCGGTCATTAATGCAATGCTGTGGGATAAGGTACTTCCTAGTGGGATTGGCCATACAACTAACTGCTTTCTCAGTGTGGAGGGGACAGATGGAGATAAGGCTTATCTTATGACAGAAGGATCCGATGAAAAGAAGAGTGTCAAGGTACAGTTTTTGAATGATTAACGCTACTTCTCACACTAACCATTTCTCAAAAGTTCTGTCTCTTAACAACAGTTACAGGTCTAACAAAAGTATAAGGCTAACTCATTCTGCATATGTTGAGTGATCTGTTTTTGTAAGACTAAGTTCTATTACTTGTTAAAAATTATTTAACTGCTTACACTGATATGTTAAACCTCTGAGGCAAATTTGTGATGATGCTCAGTATCACACACTCTAGCCCCGTAAGCAATACCTCTTTGTGGCTCCAGAGAAACTCCTGCCTGGGTTTCAAGGCACACCTTGTTCTTTAGATGCTGGTGAGTCTAAGAGGTTAAAAAAAAAAACAAAACCAAAAACAAAAACCAAGACAAAACCAAAACCAACCAACAACCAAAAAAAAAACCAACCCCCAAAATGCTTTCACCTATGAAAGTCTTCAAAGCCTGTCTGCACTACACCTGTAGCAGGAAATCTGAACTCTGCTAATTCTGTTCAAGATAGATCCTGTCCACGTTTGCTTGAGAACCAAATTTGACTGGTATGCAGACTTGTTTGTGGTGCATATTCATGTTTCTTTTCTCTTAATAGACAGTCAATCAGCTTGCTCATGCACTTCACATGGATAAGGATTTGAAAGCTGGCTGTCTCGTCCATGTCTTTTGGCCCAAGTCAAAGTGTGCCCTGCTGAGAGATGATTTGGTTTTAGTGGACAGGTATGTTTTCTGGTCTAGTAAATGTTTTCTTAAATAAATTAGCCATTATAATCTTTAGAAAAGAGACTGGTTTACTGATTGATTGTGTTTTGGTTGTTGTGTTGCAAAATTATTGAAAGGCACTTCTTTTTTTTTGAGAGAGAGAGTACAGAGTTTGTTCTTTTGTATATACTGCTGCCTGTCATCACCCCACTGATTTTGGCCTTGTAACAGTTGGAACAAGTGAGTGTCTTGTGACTGAGCTGAAAAAGGGACTAGCTTTTGGCTGAGGATACTTCTACATTTAAAACAACCAGTATGGAAGTCTGAATAGGGTTGTTGCAGCAACAGCTTTTGGCCCATCTCCTGTCTTCAGACACTTGAGACTGATGATGGGAAGTGTAAGCAATCTGGACTTCAGGGAGCTGGTGGGTTTGATGCACTTCTGGACTTCTGAGCTTATGCAGTTGTGCTGTCTCCTTGAGGACATGTACATAGAACAAGTACGCTGGAAGCCCAGAAGGGATCATTATGTAGATATGATATAAGGCATGATTTGATCTTCACAGTCTTGGTTGCTAAAGGTGAAACATAAAGGGAAAAAGAACCCAGCCTGAAATCTGAGAGAACAGGTATTTTCAAGAAGAAAATAATCTTTTTACTGTTAAAGAGAGCAAATTTGAACAAGCAAAAATTGAGTTATTGCAAACATGACCTAATGCTCATATTTCGCCTATTTTTTTAAATACTGGCAGGACTGTAGTTTTAGCTTCATTTTAATTTACATTTAATAAAAATCTATGCACAGCTTGCATAATTTATCGCTTTAAAGTAGCTTTATTAGTGGGAAAAATATTTTATGAACAACTGTACTTTTTGATTAAAGTCTAAAACTTGGGATACAGAGAGGGTGACCGTTCTGTGGGACTGTCTGGATTTCTGATGAACTGCCTGTCGCTTCCCTTGGCTATTATGCTCTGCAAATTTATTCTTTAGAAACTGTGTTTTGGAAGGAGTAGATGGTCAGTGAGTGAGTGACTTATAAAAGTGAAGTGGTAATTGGCTTTTGGTATCTTTGCATTAAGCTTGAGGTAAGCATCAGTTTAAAAATACAGAACTTTGTATCTTCTTACAAGGTCCTTATACAATCACAGTCTATTTTTGTCAGTTTCTAAAAATCGAATGCTCCTTTGCTGTGTAAATACAAGTTTGTGGTTTTTATTCTCAACAGCCCTGGCACAGATGTTACTACAGAACTGGACAGCTGGATTGACAAATTCTGCTTAGATGCTGACGTGTTTGTCTTGGTTGCCAATTCTGAATCAACTCTCATGAACACGGTATGATGTGCAATGATTTTATGTTAGTTCTTCATTGAAATACTCAGCAGTTCCATAACTGAAATGGCTTCTCGTAGACCTTTACTGAAGCTCGCAGGAATCATTGCACTTAGCTCTTGTGAATAGGATTTTGGGGGTGGGAGGCAAGAACCAATGTGTATCCCACACTAAGGAGAGGAGAACCAAGTTTCTTACCAGGTTCATTTACTCTGACCTGAGCATTACATTTGTCTATTCTATCCGAGTTTCTCCTTTGATAAATGGATGATGTAGTGCTTGTCTCGCTTACAGTTTGTTGATATTTGTCAGCTGAAGACACTTGTATTATCAAATAAATTAAGGCGTATTTGATATCCAGAAGTTTGGTAAAATACACAAAGTCGGTGAATGAAGTTGAATTTCCATCTTAGTCCTCATGCGTTCTTGTCTCAGAAGAGGGTGAATTCTGTTGGTGCATCTTGTGTGGAGGACAAGTGCTACAGGTTGCCCTCACTGGACTGTGTTTCTTCTTCTGAAGATGCTAGCAATAAGTGTTCATGTTGCATGGTTCTGTGCAACGTGGAGAGCTGAAGATGTTTTTAACACCTTTATTCTATAAAGCCTTGTTTCAAGAGAGAGAAGATGTCTGTATACCTTGCAGCCTAAATATTCTATGACTTGCAGAAGGAGAGCATACAAGGTGGCCAAAGGAGCTGTTGTGATACTCTAAATACAAGACCGGAGATTTGCTTTAATTTTGTAGTGATCTCCGGTTTTAACTAAACTAAGTATTGTGAATGCAGACGATATCAATATAAGGTTTCTAAGTTATTGGAAGTGGCACTACCAGAATGCAGTATAATGCTACTGAGAAATCTCTTGAAGACTTTTATTAAGCCTACTGTAGACGAATAAAATACTCCGATAGTTCTGAGCATAGTTCTGACATGCAGTGTCTGAACTTTCTAATTATTGAGGCAATTTAAAATACAATAAAGAACTGAATGTACAAAGACAGTATTTCCTTGCATTGTAGCAAATTGGAATAGTTTGATAGGAATCTGAGAAGAACATAAAATGAGTTTAAAAACATTACATTCCATATTCTGAGCCAAATCCACAAAGACTGAAATACAAGAGAGATGTGATTTGAAAAGAAAGAAGATTCTGATCTAAGGCAAAGAGAGGATATGGCACAACTATGGCTCTATCTTCTCCATTATCTCATGTGAAGGATGCTTTTTGGCTTTTAGTATGGAGGGTGTCTAGAAGTTGTTTGCGTTATGTACATATCATAGTTGGTTTGTTTTTTTTCTAATTAAAAAAAGGAAGAAGAAATAAAGATTGGGTTTTAGTCAACACGTCATTACTGTCTCCTTGTCTCCATACAATCGGGAACTGCGTGCCAGATTTCAGTTTGGTGTAATGAAGTAACAGAGAAAACATGAAATTTGATTTGGTTCTCTCATTTGCTCAGGAGAAATGAACCATTAAAAACAATCTGACTGAGACAGTAAACATGTAGGAAAGACGTATAGTCTGTACATCTACTGGAAGATTCCGCTAATTTTGTACTTGTCTGATCCTTCGCGCCCAGTCATGGAAGTGCTATTCTGCTTTTTAATGTGATTTTTGGCCAGTCTTTTTTCCTTGTCAGGCACAGCTGAAAGCTGCTAAATAGAAATAGGTTAGTCTTGCAATTTGTTTGAAGCATTGAAGTCTTGCTGAGTTTTTTTGGTTGCCATGCCTATAAATCCTCACTTAACACTGGACACCTTGTAATTATTAGAATCTGGAAATAACTAGTGTCCAGGGTATATATTGGAGGGAGAGGAAGTAGATCTTACTTGTGATTGAGGCTTTGGCTCAGTAAACAGCTCTTTTACTCTTTCTTCTTTTTAATTTTTTCAGCCTAGTAGACACAAATGAAGTTGCCTTTAACAATTATGTAACTGCTCTAAAGCATTTGTTTTTTGCTTTGCACTGTGGCAAATGGTAGTTTCCTTCTTCATCTACACAAGTTTGTCCTTCAGGTAAAGCGTATGATAACTGTGTTCTCATCCTCCTTAGGAATTATTTTTACCTCTTACCATAACAGGTTTGAGAGTATTTCTCAGCTGCTACACAACCACAGATTTTTGGCATGAACGTGATTTTTCTGATATTCCCTCATAAATTCTCTTCAGACAAAGTTTTTATTTCTGCCACAGTAATCTCGTTTACATATACGTTAGACTCCATCAATCAGGGAGTAAGTATCTCCAGTGTTGTGTCCAGAATGTGTGGTCGTGTCCTGCTGCAGATTCAAAAAGCTTGTGGCAGCACAGAGATCTCTTCTGTTTCAGCTGTGCTAACTGGGATTTACTCCATCACGACTTACCCATTATCACTATGAAAATAGCAATGATGACTGGTAGGTACAGGCAAGGAACCCAAATATGTTTTCAGGTACCTGTGTGTCTTGTTTTTAAAGTTAAAACATTCAGCAATGGCTTTTTTCCTGTGGCTCGAGCCATGCATCCTCATATAGGAAATGTAACTTGTCTGTAGTTCAGGCTGACGTTGCCTAGTTGAAGAATATAGTCAGAATGTGTTTTTCTGGGTATAGAAACCAGATTTGGCATGGAGACAGGAGCATCTTGGTAGTTCAAATCGAGAAGGCTTCGTAGTTTTAGGCAAGCATCTTACTCAAAAAACGAAATGAACAGATATGCGTTTTGTGTGTTTTTTCCTTCCTGTCTTCCCCAATAGTATTTTGTGTTGCACTGTTGCAAGCAAATTTAATAGAGGGCTAGGAGTATCAAAGGAGATGAAGCTTTGTGATACTAAGAGTGAAGGGGGGGGGGAGGGGAGATAGTGAATGACATGATAGATTTATAGAAAAATAGACTTTCTTTTCCAGTGTTTTCTGAACGGTTTGTTTTGGAAGTTTTCTTAATTTGCATTTGTACCTATTTTTAGAGGAGCTTGCTGTATCTTTGGCTTTTAGCATTGGCATCAGTTTTACATCGTGTGATGACTACTGAACTATCATAAGCCTTTTCTGTGTTAGATATCTGTGGTTTTTAACGCTAATGAATTCTTTTTAATAGGAAACTTTTTTAAAAGCTTTTTTAACTTCAGAATTTGTTACAGAAGAATGCATGACTCTGGTTTGGATGTCTGGGGAATTTTCTGTTTGTGCTTTAATTCTTAGGAAAAGCATTTTTTCCATAAAGTGAATGAACGACTCTCCAAGCCAAACATCTTCATCTTGAATAATAGATGGGATGCCTCTGCATCAGAACCAGAATATATGGAAGATGTGAGTGACTCGATGAATTCTTTTTAATAGGAAACTTTTTTAAAAGCTTTTTTAACTTCAGAATTTGTTACAGAAGAATGCATGACTCTGGTTTGGATGTCTGGGGAATTTTCTGTTTGTGCTTTAATTCTTAGGAAAAGCATTTTTTCCATAAAGTGAATGAACGACTCTCCAAGCCAAACATCTTCATCTTGAATAATAGATGGGATGCCTCTGCATCAGAACCAGAATATATGGAAGATGTGAGTGACTCGATGGCTCCTATTTGGGTTGATTTAAAAAAAATAAATATACATATATAAGGAAAAGGCCTCCACATGCATAAAAGCATGCTAAATTGCCTAGGTAATAGAGTTATTAATATGAAAACACAAGCTTTGTTTTATTAATAAAAAGATAAGTTACTTGGTCAGAAAATGGAAATAACTTATTCCTTGATCAGAGCAAAAAGCAACCTACAGTTCAAACTACAATATATGCAGGCAGGTAATAACAATGGGAAGCTTCTTTAGAACTTTTTTCTTCCAGAGCTAAGCTTGTTTTAAGTCTTCTTTGTATTACCTTTTATTCCTGTAATGGTAGTGCAGCCTGAGGCTACAGGTTATGCATATATACGTGCATAGAGTAGCTGGCAGAGTACAGTTTTAGATTGTAAGAGTTTTGTGTGCTCCTCAGGTCTTTCCAGCGGCAACTAGCTCGCAGTGTTACTTATTTCTCTGTATAAGGGGAATGAAGTGGTTACCCTAGTAACTGACTGAGATATCTGACTTACATAAATACAGACAGTTGTAGAAGAAAGTGCTGTTTTTTCCAGGGCTGTTTAAATGGTTAAAAGCAGCTGCTGCATGCATCAGTAGGATTAGAAGGCATCTGCTATCTAAGGGGTTGTTCAGCATCTGTTTCTGACTCTGACATTCTGATTTGATGATGGCTTAATTCTTGCTTTTTTCTCATGAGCTTTTTACCTTTTCCTTAGGTGCGCAGGCAGCACATGGAGCGCTGTCTGACTTTTCTAGTTGATGAGCTCAAAGTTATTGATCCTGTAGAAGCCAGGAATCGCATCTTTTTTGTTTCAGCAAAAGAAGTTCTGAGTGCCAGGAGACAGAAGGCCCAAGGAATGCCAGAGGGTGGTGTGTAGGAACTCTTGCTTTTCCTCAAACAGAAAAATACCATAAAACCTGATAAACTAAAATATTTAAGATACAATCGCTGCTGTGAGGCATTGCTCTCTCCCTTATTGTCTGTTATGTTTTGCAGGTGGAGCACTTGCTGAAGGATTTCAAACAAGATTCCAGGAATTTCAGCATTTTGAGCAGATATTTGAGGTATTTCTGATGGGCTTTTTAGACTGCCTGGTTTTTAATGCAAAGGTAGCTTTTGCTTATGTTTAGCTTAATTTTACTGAACGTAACCCATGTTAACAAGTGGAGGAGTGTAAGGTATTCAAACCATCTGACAGCTTTGCTTTGTCTGTGGGCTCTGTTCATCTGTTCTCACCTTGAATAGCAGGTAGTTCTAAGTATTATTCAGTGAGGAAAGGGACCAAAACTGGGCTCTTAGCTTGTGTTTTGAGATCTCGGTACCAATGTACCGTCTATGTAAAAAGAGACGATGCTCTTAGAAAGGAGTGTATCATAACCATAAGCTGGTGAAATATTTGTTGTATAGTAAGCCTTATTTTGCTCTGAAGTTGTAGCTTTGTAATTAAGCATTGTAATTCAGGACACAGATAGTAAGGAATTCTGTTTTGCCAATGCAAATCTAAATATTTTGCATTTTTAAAGCCAGAGTTTTGAAATTATCACCATCATCTTAGCTCTTAGCTCTGGTACTCTGAACATTAACACTGTCTTTGCATCCTTGTTGCTGTACAGAATCCATCCTTCACCCTCAGTTTATCTATATTCATAGTTAGAGTTTACAGTTTCTTCAGAAGTAAGACTGGCTAGGCCGTTGAGTAATTTCTTTGTGATAGGATGCATTTGTCTTGCTGAATTTTATAAATCTAATTAATTAAAACCATTCTCGGGTATCTTAAGGAGTCATTTTGGATATGCTTTGATGGTTTTGTGTGGTATGTATTGGCATATCTCATGCAACATGGGTCTGAACGGTGTGGCTGTAGTTTGTATACAGCAAATGCTCAAGATGGCTCTTGCATGCCTGAACCAGTAACTGATTCCTTGTTCGGTATATTTAAAAAAAAGAATCAAACTGCCTCCGAAAAGTATTTTTTCTCTCATTACAAACAAGCCCATTTGACCTTAGCAAAACCGAGTTATGTAATGATGTGTGTATATCAAAAAGGTGTTAAAATAACATCTTGATTCTGTCTTGCGTAAGCAAGAAAATGTCAGACTAAAGTTTAAATTTAATCCTTATCCACACTCTTACAATAGCCAACCAAGTTGTTGAAATGATTGGTTCAGAATACCGGCAGGGCCTGAGTCCATGAGGCACGAAATTTCTTGCTTGTCACTAGTTGCAGCCAAACGTGAGTTTTTGTTTGTAATTTTTGTGCTTAGAATTATAGTAGGAAACTTTCAACCAGTAGGAAAATAGTGGAAATTATGCTTCTAAATCAATTACTGTTCTTTAAGATATATTTTGCTATGTGCTGTACCCAAAGGTTTCTTGACAAAATCTCTTATAATTATGGTTAAGCACTCAACACTTAGGATATTTCAAGATTAACATAGATGTATGACTTATTAAATGATGTGGTGGTATGAGAGCTCAGGACATCTGTAAATTGGATGCCACAGTCTTGAGAAGCAACCATCACAAGGTCACAACCATGACAAGTTTCTTTGGCAGAGACAGGGACAACAGACGATTCTGTGACAGCACTGAATGGCCTTAAAACAACTTTTTTCTCCTTTCACATTATCTGTTTCATTTGCTGCACACCTTCCGACTCCCAACAGTGAGAGTGGATTCTGTAATGTTTTTCCCTGCTCGGACATCTTACATCCTGAAATCATAATGAGTGGCTTTGAATAGGAGTGTGATCACATCCCTTAAAAAGCATGACAACATCTGCTAAATTAAGATTGCCAAAGCAATTTAAATGTTGAGTGTCTGATGTTGCAGCACATTCAGGTTTTGTGGGCAATTTCCGAAGTTATAATGGCATTGTATTTGCTTTTAAAGCAAGGCTGATACTTAAATGGTTCGCCAGGTCTGAAATCTTCAGACGGAATACTCAGATTACTGTCACTTGAGCTGATAAAGTAACTGATGACAATAGTATGATGATGTCAGTTATGTTTACCAGCAGCAGATTATACCAGCTCATATATTAATAAAGAATATCATACATCAGGTAGAATTTGCTGTGTTCAGCCTGGGAACAAAATCCTACTTGATACCATGCTTTATGCTCTGCCAGACCAAATTCAGATGCTGTTTAGCTGTGAGTACAGCCTAAGCACTTCTGGCTAAAGCGCTTTGCATTTACTCTGTTTTCTGACAGAGGAGCTGCAAGTCCCAAGACTCTTGGATTACACTCCAGTCTGTGAAAGGGGAGGGACGAGAGCACAGATGCTTCTGTCTGTCCTCATCAAACGCTGAGCCCTTCTCTGCTTCAGTCTCTCTGTCCTGCCTTTACCTCCTTGTCCCTGTTCAGGTGTCCTGCTCGGACTTTCCAAACGTTTCTTGCACTCCTTCATCCAGTTCACATCTCTAAGCTATCTCATCACCTCATTTATAAACCAGTCCACGCATTCTGTGTTCCCACTGGCTGTATCTGCTGGTTTTGCTCTTCCTGGATTCTCTCACCCTGCTTTTGTCTTCCCTAAAATTGAATGGCTTCTTCCTCTTTTCCACAAAGACTGAGAGGAGGAACTGTTACTTCTCCAGTACTTCCACATTCCTGATAGTGTCAGATCCCTGGTGACAAAGCCTGTTCATCCCAGGACTGGTATGAGGTCAGTATAGCTAGAATCTTAAAAAAAAACCCAAACCCACATCTATAAACCACCCATCAGTGCTAGTTTGTTGTGATATGGCAAAAATTTGGACCATTTTTGAAAGGTTTCTAACTACATTTATGTAGATTTTTGTGTGAGGGCAAAAGGCATTCCAAAAATAGATATAACATGTTCTTCTGCAAAGCACAGGGTGGTTAAAGATGCTAAAAGAAAAACTGCTCCAGGCATTACTAGAAAGACTTATAAGCAGTGGTGAAATTAAGGTTTTAGAGATTCATGTGATAACTTTAAAAAGTGATGTTACTGTCCATGTCATCTGTGTTAGAACAAGGAAAAAAAGATATGCGGTCTTGAAGGAAAGGGTTGGATTAGTGGACCAGTTCTGAATTTTTATGTTGTGGAACAGCAGAAGGCAGTCAGTGTGTCTGTCTTCTGAAATTTTACAATGAGATACATAGAAATGCTGTATCAAAACAGCAAAGAAGTTCACGCACAGTACACTGTGTGCAGTAGCCCTTAGTGGGTATTCTACATAAAAACCAAACCCCACTATGCCTCAGGTTGAAGTGTTTCCCGAGTTTCTTCAGAAAACTGGTAACAGTAATGGTGTGAGGAGGTATGGAGGAGGGAGGCAAGGCAGGATAGTAATTTGGGCTGTAAACTGGAGAGAATAATGCAGCCTGAATTAGTACGCTACTGCAGAGTCCTTCCCTAACTGCACGGGAATGTAATAAACTGTGTGCTTAAAGAAGCTATACTGGAAATGGGCTGGAAGGTAACTGGTGTTGGTTATGTTGTTGAGACATACCTTTTCTCTTTGTTTTGATACTTATTCTTACAGACTAACAGCAAAACTGCTGCTGTCCTCCCCTTACCTTTCTCAGTCGTTTAACTAACCTTTGTGTTTTTCCTAGTGCTCTAACTTGGATTTTCTGATTGTGTTGTGAGTGACTGTCATCCTTTTATCTACCACGTACTAACGTTGGGAAGACTTTTTCCTCTGTGTCTAGTCTAGCTCTTACAATGTGCTGATATTTATGAAACTCTGGCCTTTCATTGCTGATTTCTAGATCTGCTTCGTCGAGGAACAGGGAATATAGTTTACTCATTTTGTTTATTTTGTTTTCATCTATTATTTTCAGGCAGATGAAATGTGTTATTACAGCATGTGCTAAGGTCATAGGCAAGTCTTTTAAAAGCAACCTAAACCTGTTTGTCCTATGAAAGGTGCATCAATAGATTGAGAACAACTTAAAAAACTCTTAGATCTGGTATAAATGAATTAGCTGCTTGCTTTCTTCCCCTCAAACACAGAAGATGTTGCTACTTTGTGGTGACTTAGTGCAGGTTGAATTCAGACAGCATTTGATTGGCTGTATAACTCAGGATGTGCGGTTGCTTGAAAAAAGTCAAAGTCTTACTTTTTGGCTTATCACAATTGATTTGCTTTTGCCCAAATTGAACATTTGTGTATCTTTGCAATCAGTGTCCTGTAATTTCTGAATTGCTGTACAATATTCAAGGTTACAGATTGATCAGAAATCGTATCTTTAGAACATTCTCTGCTCATTCATATAACACTTCGATAATCTGCAAATAAGCTAATATTTTAAGGACTACTTAAGAAATTTTTTTTTATCCTATGAGAGAATCCTTGTTTCTTATTCCTAATTATGTATTTTGTTCCTGGATGATCAGTATTGACATGAGCATGTCAAATTTTACTGACAGAACTGCTTCTTGAAACTAAGAGTATTTACTGCAAGAAAGAAAACTCAAGCTAGGCAATATTGCCAGCATTCATGTTAGACCTCTATAATTCCAAAGAGGTAGTTTGGAAAATTATCTGAAGAGCTAGATTCATGTTACATATTCATCTGAGTTTTCTTTTTTTCTTTATTAATTTATTTTAAAAGAATAAAAACCTATGCACATTACTGTGAGTAAACATGAAGGTACAGATTTGCTGCTGTTGACTCATTTGAGATTTCAGTTCTGTTGTCTTTTACTTTCTATATACTTTTTCCTCTTTTATTTCCCATTGGTTTAAGTTCGTGGTAAAATTAGCAGCATGTGCTTTCTGATAGTGAAATTCCTGAATGTGTTGGCATGGAATTGCAGTAATGTGTTGTGGCTTGGGCCCCTCGCAGGAGTGTATCTCGCAGTCAGCCGTGAAAACCAAGTTTGAACAGCACACTATCAGAGCTAAACAGATAATAGATACTGTGAAAAACATTATGGACGCCATAAACGTAGCGGCAGCAGAGAAAAGGTAGGTTGGTTGGAGGGCTGGCTGGTTTTCGTTTATCCGGATCCTCTGAGGAGCCATTTCTATGCTGGTGATTTTCTTGGGCTATTATGGACTTTAAAATACACTTTTCTTGCTTGGTAAGAAATAGAGAATTTCTCTGGTGTGTCAGTCTTACTACTCTTCACTTGCACTGCTCGCTCTTGTTCCTGGTCTGTGACTTCTGTGTAGAGATTTTGGTTTACTTCGTTATTCTTTGTTACTGACTTACAGTTACAAAGGCAGTCTGTGGGATTTCAAACCTTTTTTTCAAAAATATTTGAAATTCTAAGTTTTCCTAGCTGTATCCAGCATTTCAGAAGTGATGTTTGGGCCTGCTTTACCTCAGTTTTTTTGTTACCAGTAACACTGAGAAATAAATGGGAGGTTGTAGACACTTTAATTTGCGAGTGGTTAGAATACTGTAAGGGATGAGAAAAGCCCAACCTAACAGAAGCTTGGTCTCTGGCCCTTTCCAGATTGTGTCCTTGAATATCTTTATTCTCTCTTTACTCATGTAATCCTTTTAGTGCTGATGATAGCAGCTCATCTACTCTGATAGTTTCACATATTCTTTGAGGTTTGCATATGTATGGGTTTTTTCTGCACTTTTGTTGCTACCTTGTCTGTCTTGTACACAGTGAATTTGCTGTCATGTTTAATCCTTTCCATCCATTTCCTTTCTGTGTCTGTTAATAGTGTGTCTTTATGTTTTAACAGACTCCACTGTGCCTGTCAAACACTCATCTTCCTGAATATATCAGCTTTTACAAACTGCGTGTTTACATATTAACTTGTCTCACGTTGTCAGATGCTATGAAAACATGCTGTGAAATGTTTGAAAATAATCTTGATATTCTACTTCTTTCTGTCAATTGACCTGCCACATGCTGTGTGTGACCCCTCTTGATCTGAATTGCTGTTTGGTGTTTCTGCCCACCCTTTGAGATCTAACTGCTTTAGATTTTAAGCAATTTTTACTTAAACGATAGGTCGAGAACTTCTGAAGAGAGTTGATTGTGACAAGGTTAGTTTCTGCTGCCTCGCCTTTGCTTTGCAGGGTCATCAGACCCACGGCACTGTTAAGGGATAGTTGAGTGGTGCTGGTGAGCAGCAGTAGGACAGTTTGATCAGATTTATCCCTTTTTATAGTTACTTTTAAATGGGGATAGACTAAGCATTAAAGGCCCCTGATTTCCCCCCTCACCCCCTTTTAAATTGTAATTATGTATTAACAATTAATTAACAATTCCAACTCCAAATGCTGTTTTTGTAAATGTATCAAAGCCTGGTAATTTGAGTTATGTTTGGTCAGTGCAGCCTTTAAATGGGCCTGTAAATTTAATATCTATATTGCAGTTATTCTGAAGCAGTGCCTATGCTTCATCCAGCCAGTGTCACTTTGGATTCTTTTGGCTGCTCAGTAAACCATCAGCTTAGATGGTCTCTGCCTGGTTATGGGGCTTGTGTCATTACTGGGACAATACCTGCTGGTGATGGTGACTTCCTTTCTGCTACGTTAGAGTCCGTTCAATGGAAGAGCGAGAAGATCAAAAGGATAGATTGGACTTTGTTCGAAATCAGCTGAACATTTTGACGGAAGATACAAAGGAAAAAATCAAACGTGTTACTGAGGAAGTAGAAAATAAAGTAAGTAATGGCAATGTGAAAAATCTCCCAGATTCAAGTGTTGTCTCGTCTGTAAGGCAGCTCCTTTAGGTGCCCACCCATCTTCTGAAGTACATTTGAAATGTATAGTACGTTTCTTTTCCAGTATAAAAAAAAATGAAGAAGAAAAAAACTAAAATGGCAATCTTTTCTGACTATCAGGTAGTTGAATCATGTATTGTAACAGTTAAAGCAGTGGTCTGTTTTCACTCTGGCTGGAAAAGGTAGGAGAAACATTTTATGTATTTACCGTATTCTTCCAGGTCTCCTCTGCCATGACCGATGAGATTTGCCGACTTTCAGTCTTAGTTGATGAATTTTATTCAGATTTTCACCCTTCTCCTCAAGTACTGAAGCTCTATAAGACAGTAAGTTTTCTTGTGTGGTTTGAAGCCAGGCTCTTTGTCTTTCCTTTCATTACTATTTCTGTATTTTCATAATTTGCATAGCATTTTACGTGACACTTTATTTAAGCATTGCAGGAATTTTGCTTTCTGACATACGTATATCTCAGTTTACCTAAAACTGGAAAAGGTTAAAAATATTTTCTGCTCTTTTTTTGGAAAGAATTTAATTTTTGTTTCAACTGTCTTTTTACTGGAGTGGTTAGTGAAACTGTAATTCACTGACATCCTGATTTGTAGTCTTCACTTCCAGTAAACTGTCTTTTTACTGGAGTGGTTAGTGAGACTGTAATTCACTGACGTCCTGATGATGAAGACCTTACCTAAACAATTTTCGTTACTCCTAAAATGAAATGGATCCAAAAATAAAATGAGCTTGCAAACACCCAACACTTCATGGGTGTTGTTTGTTTGTTTGTTTTTAAGAAAAAAGAAAAAGAAAAAATGCAATTTTTATTAAACTTCTATAAATTCCTCCTCAACTTAGTACTTTAAAGGAGCGTACACCTGTAAGCGTTTGCCTCTTACGCTCAGACTTTGCTGCTAATGAGTGACTGCCATAACTCCCGCCTCTTCCAGCCTTGTTGGTCACTGGGAGTGCTGCGTTTTCAGGACAGTCTGTGCTGTCCTGGCACTGCAAAATGTCCAGAGCAGATTTCCATGGGAGTTGATGGGATCGGTGTAGTTTTGTGCAGAGCAGTGAAATTGGCCCCCATCAAATGATGACAGTAGAGGCTTTGCAGGGCAGCATGGGAGTGGTACGCCTTTCAGGGTCATGGTTTATTGAAAATACAGGCTTCTCCGTATGCCTTTTAATGATTACAGTCCAAGAGAAATCTTACCTGTGTGACTTTAATTAGGTTTTTAGTCACAGTGTGCAATTTAAAAGCATGATATTTCCATGGTAACATGTTTTTTTTTTTCCCCACTGTAAATAACAATGCGTAGTGTTTAACATATATCTGTGTGGTATAATGTAGTTGATTAGCTAAATATAAATTGATGGGCATGTATTCTTTATAAAACTTCAGGAACTGAACAAACATATAGAAGACGGTTTGGGAAAGAACCTGGCTGATCGTTGCTCCAGTGAAGTCAATCAATCAATGCATCAGTCGCAGCAGGAGATGATTGGTAAGATGAGGAAAGAGGAATGTTAAGACCTCTTGGTTAGAGGAGGACAATTTAAGAAAACCTGCTTTTAAAAGAATTTTCTTTCTGATGGTGATTTAACGTTAACACTGTAAAATGATAAGGAAAAGCCATCCTAGCTCAAGACTGAGCATCTGTCCAGCTCAGTAGCCTGATAGTCTCTGATATTAACCCGTAACAGATGCCTGGGGAGAAGGTTAATGAACCAGGGTAAATACAGTCATCCATTCCCAATTTAGGGGCTTTTGAGCCAAGATACTGCATCTGGATTAATGGCTTAAGCAAGTAGCAATGGACCTGTCCTCTGGGAACTTGGCTAATCCTTTTATAAACCCATTTAAACTTCTGGCTTCCACAACAGATATATGAAATACACTAATTGTTAGATAATGTTTCTGCAGTATAATCCTCTCCCTAGGTCCCTCCAGATTCTGAGTGCAAAACAGGATAGTGTCACACAGTATTTGTGCACTCCCTTTTTTCCTTTTTTTTAATAAGTAGTAACTTTATTGCATATCCAACTCTCTCTTGTGATCTGTTTCTGGTAGTAAAAGATTCAGAGCAAAATCATGGAATTGCATGAAGCCTTCTGTCATCTTATGCAACAATGTTGCCTTTTCTGTATGTGGCACCACAGAATTGCTGGATAAACCGCTTTTCCTTAGTCCATCGTTATCTTTTGACCATTGATTGAGATCTTTCAGTTTGCCGTTTTTTTCCAGCAGTGCTTTCTCTATGAGTTCATTCTGTGTGATTGTTTTCTTTTATCAGAGCAATAAATTGCCTAATCTCTTAGAATCAATACTGCTAAAATACCCACTGATTTTACAAATAAATAAATAAATTGGTTCGTTTAGATTCTCTTAGTTTACAAAGCTGGTCAGCAGTGCAAGGGTGCTACTCGCGAATATGCTGTAAAGCTTTTGATGTTAACTCATCTTTACTATTCTGTTTTCTTTCTAGAAAATCTGAAACCATTGTTGCCTTCTGGTGCTCAGAATCAGCTCCACTTGCTAATTCCATGCAGGAGGTTTGACCTTAGCTATGATCTAAACTGTCATAGTCTGTGTGCGGATTTTCAAGAGGATATCATGTTCCACTTTTCCTTGGGATGGACGTCGCTTGTAAACCGTTTCTTGGGTCCTAAACAAGCTCAGAGGGTACTATTGGGACTAGCAGATCCAAACTTACAAGTGAGTGCTGGATTAGCCTGGCATTTGAAGTGTCTTATTTCACCCTGATGAGAATATATTGATTTTTTACTGTATTTTCCTGTACTATTTACATGCTTCCTGCTACTTCACCTAGTCCCTTTGTGTGAAATGTTTTTGGTGAGGGTTGTTTTTATTGGATTATATTCAGGGTGAGAATGGAACAAAAAACCTTTCCTAAACTTTCTGCAGCTGTTACATGAGTGTTATTTTCCTTTGGATTGAACCCTTGGGTAACCTTTTCATTTGTAACTTCTGGATCCTTACGGCTGAGCCAGTCCTACGTGGAACCCTTATTCTAACCCAGTCCCCCACTGGGCAAGGCACCGTCAAAACCTCCACCGCTTATCAGGAGTGTTGTTCAGACTTCTGCGCTGAAAAGTTTCTTTTAAGTAAATCAAACCCTGAATATATGAAAATAAAATAAAACCTGTCTGCTTTGTAGTTCCTTAATGCTTTTTATTCAGGCTGCCATATTCCACTCTTCTAGATCCCTCGTCCTTTAGCTACCACCCCATCCGCTGCCAGCCTTCCTGCCATAACTCCAGAGAACTCGCCGCACGATGATTTTATGGTTCCTTTGGTAATGAGTTTAGCTTCACTGACATCACGGACCTCTATGAGCATCATCATTGTTGGCGGAGTGGCAAGTAGTATTAGCATCATGCACTGTACTAAAAGTGGTGGCAAAGATTAAGCTGGTCTGTCTTGTTTTGGGGTGCAACGTGAAGCTTGTAACAGACTGTTTAACACAGGGCTGGACGAGCGTGTGTAGTATGCTGGATACCTGTGGTCAGTGCGTAGGGGGAAAATCAGCCTAGTTTACTCTGAGCATAGTTGGGCATATTCTCTATGTCGTATGTCTGTGTTTTGTTTCTGAATTAAAGGATGATTTGATGGTGCCTCATACAGTTTGGATTTAGTGGGAGCCTTGCTTTCTCCTTCCTCCTTCATTAAAAAGCAGGCAGGCTTCTCGTATTCTCCGTGCCACTGGGGTACCTGCTCATTTGAATGTAGCTGTACTGCTCTGCAGTAACAATATTGATATAATATATTTTCTTAAACTAATCTTGTGAAAGGGCCATGAAGATGATGAAAAAAAAAAAAAAAAGGGTGGAATTAGATTTTATTCTGTAGGGCAATTTACTGAAGCTAATGAAGAATCCTCTTTTTCAGATTTGGAGAACAGTAGGCTGGAAACTCATCTCTATTTCCTTAAGTATGTATGGGCTGTTATATCTTTATGAGAGACTAACCTGGACCACTAAAGCAAAGGAGAGAGCCTTTAAACAGCAGTTTGTGAACTATGCTACTGAAAAGCTGCAGATGATCGTCAGTCTGACCAGTGCTAATTGCAGCCATCAGGTGCAACAGTAAGTACCAGGCTGGTGTTTCCCCTCGCTAGGGTAGGATAGGAAATCCATCCGTGTCTGTGCAGTACTGTGGTGTCCTGGGAGTGGGGACCGGCTGTACGTGGTGTGGGAAGGCAGCTTTAGTGTCCCTCGCCGTTTATTATGAGGGAGTTTTTAAAGAGTTCGAAGTTACCGCCTAAAAAGGCCGATACAGTTGTCTCAGTGCAATAGTTAGGCTTAAGATGTAGACTGTCTTTGTCCAGCAGTGTGTGATGAGGGTGTGGGAGTTGGCTCAGTTCTGGCGGAGGCTGAATTGGTCTGCGTTAAGGTTGGCATTGAGTCTGTCCCGAGTCAGTGTCACGGTGAGCATTTGTTCTGCCTCGAGGGTTGGTTCGGGCGAGCGCTGAGCAGCCAGTCCTGGCTCTTCTGCACCGCAGAAGAGGAACTTAAGAGCCTTTATGAATGGTTTCATTTTTGTGTGTATCTCTTTCCCAAATACTTTTCTACCTGTCTCTGCAAAGTAATGTCTGGGTGATTATCTCCCTTAGCCTCTCCTGTTGAAACAGTTTGTTTTGATTAAAGTATAATTTCAGAAAATTAGGCCTGCTAAATGAGACCTCTAACCACCAGCGTGCAGAACACCTCTCCTGTGTAGCCCAGGGAATACTTTACTAATACAAAGTTCAGCTTCAGCAGAGGAAAGAGAATCATCCCCGTGTCCAGCAGCTGTGTGTCTCTGTGAGGACATGGAAGAGCTGGACCCAAACCAATGCTCCAGTGAGGTGAAGTAGAGGGGAGAGGAGACATCTCCTCTCCCATGGGAGAGCCTGGTTGCTGGCCCGGGGTGGTAACTGGGTTTTTTTTTTTTCCTTTATGTAAGAAGGAGTCTTGGAACTCAGGTGGGGAGCGTGTGACTTGAGGAGGGAAGTAGGATGAGGTGCCCAGCAAGTGTGGGGCACTCCTCACCCTGCCAAGGGCTCGTGTTCCCCGTGAGCAGGCGCTTAGCGTGGCACAGGGCGCTGCACGAGTGGGCACGTGTTACCGCCAGAGTCCCCATCTCAGGCTTGTACCTACTGATGCTCAATGAAAAATTGCCGGACGTGATGGCAGAGACTGAGGTGCATTTTGTATGTTTAAAGTTTCTTTTTTAATTTAAAAAATTAGTAATTCTGCTTTCTGCTGTTCTGTAATCCCTTAACAGCTGGAGACTTTCATTGCTGTGTTCTACTGCACACGGCGATGCCATGTGATATTTTTTTAATTTTTTTTTTCTTCTTAATTTTTTATTGGTAGCACGGACTTCTGTGAACCATGATTACAAACTTATTTTCCCTTTAGGGAAATGGCCACTACCTTTGCTCGGCTCTGTCAGCAGGTGGATATTACCGAGAAGAACCTGGAAGAAGAGATTGCGAGGCTTTCCAAAGAAATAGATCAGCTGGAGAATGTGCAGAGCAACTCCAAGCAGCTAAGGTAAGTGTGGCTGGGACTGGCCAGCAGCACGTTCAGTGAGATTGGTGCTTGCTGTTACTTTCAAGCTGAAATGAAGTAGGCACAGGTGCAGAGGGTACGCAGCAATACCTATTTTCTTTACTTGTAACGGAACAGCTCTGGTTTAGTTAAATAAATGTGTGCTTCTACATAGGTGAATGAGCAAAGCTCCAAAAATATTGTTTCTTAGATCACCCTTACCTCTGTCTCCCTTGTGGGGGAGAGATGGCTTTCACAAGAGGTAAATTAAGGTGGCACCTTCCCAAAGAACCCCTCAGAGAACACGATAGCAGTTGTGCTGCGAGTCATTGCTGCAGTATTGTTTTTCTCTAAGAACCAGAAGTAGGTGTTTACAGAAGAAAAACTTCCAGCGATTGGTGGATTTGGGACTTAGGAGCAGCCTCAACCTTAGTTTGATGTTCTCTTCCCCCTGCTGGAAGCCTCCCTGGCTGTGCGCCGCCTCCTAGGCCTCAGCGTTCAGGAGCGCAGTCGGACAAGGTCTGGCCCCGCAGTGCGCAGCCCGTGGCGTGCTGCGCTGCACGAAGGGCCGGTGTGAGGAGCCCTGCTCAGCGCCTGGCTTGCGACTGCAGAACCTCGCCCAAGTTAAATGCTGAAAGGAAAGGGCAGAACCAGGGAAGTCCCAGATGGAGCTGGAAACGTGGGCAGATGGCTGGTGGCCTTCTGCTGCCTGGTTGGGTCCTGCACTTGTGACATCCAAGGCTCTGACCAGAGCACACGTTTAGGTTTTCTTGGTGGGTTTCAGGAATAGAGGAATCGAAATTGAAACGCTGATGTTGATTTCAGGAATAGAGGAATCGAAATTAAAACACTCGTGTTGATTTTGCCTTCTTTGTGATGGGACTGCATTGAAGTAAATCCATTGCTTTTGTTTGTTTTACAGAAATAAAGCCATTCACCTTGAGAACGAACTAGATCGCTTTACAAAGCATTTTCTTCAAAAGACTAAATAAAACATCGTTGCTAACTTTCCTGGTGATCCTTTGTAGGACAAAGTAGACATTTTACAGATTATGCTTCTCCTCTGTGGAGTCACATGAAATGATATATATTTTAAACATTACTTTGATTACAGTTGTTAATTATTGTAAAACTTGATTTGGACTCAGACGGTGAATCAAACTGAAGAGGTGTGGTACTCTGAGTGTTATGTTTGTGTTGGAGATTTTGAGTTTAAAATGATCTTTAAACACTAAAATTCTTTGGGCACTTGACAATAAAAATCCAACTCCTTATTGGTTTTCATCAGTATTTAGCAGTGGCAAGTCTCGCTTCCTGGCATCCAGGAGCTTATGCAGGGAGAGAGAGCTTATCACAGTTACCACTGTCTCCTGTTCTCAGTTGCTTAGGAATTAGTCAGGGATGGAGGATGCTGCTTTTTGCGTGTGTGTTTTTGTTTAAAGAAGGGAAGTATAAACTCGAGCACGGGGAAAGGGCTCTTGACTGTTTTGAAAGCAAGTGAAATCGGGTTGGGCAGCAGTTCCTCTTCCTCAAAGGGAAGTGAAAGATGATAGTAAACTGCAGAGCATTCACTAATGAAATGCAGTGGGCTCTAGTTTCCCCTCTGGCTACCACATTCAGACAAGGTGTTGTTGATTGAGTAAAAATAAACTTATTGCAACAAGCTTATCAGATTTCTCACAGTTGGTGAAGTGGTGCAGTGGTCACCTGCCCGTGAGCTGCTGGAGCCCGGGTTCAGGTGATCTGCAGGTGTGTGCAGAAGGTGCTGCGCGGGTGGGCTGCACTGTTCTCGCAGCCTGTGGAGCAGCTGCAGAACCGCT